AAACAGTCAAATAACACAGAAGTACTGGGATAACAGTTTATAGTTTAGATATAACTGCTGAAAGAATGAAAGTTGTGGGGAGCGATTACATTATTTAACCAATAGGTGGTTATCAAAAACATGCCACTAAATAATTCTTTAAAAATTATCCATCTAGCAATGAAACATGATGTTTTATGAATGAATAACTAAATCATTTATTAAAAATGAGACCACAAATAAATATGGTTGTACTGGGTTGTACAAATGATAATGTTAGATGTCTACATTTGGCGTTATCAACAACAGTAGTAGTAACTGTAGACAATTTTTTTACAGTACTGAATATTTTACAATTTATGTATATTCAGCTAATTATTTCTTCATTTTATTTGTAATAAAATGACAAGTTTTAAGTTCTGTTTGTTAAAACCAAAAGTTTCCCTTAGAACTGTTTTGTAATAAATGGAAAGCAAATTACATTCGTCTTCTCCCCTTTTTGGCTAATCTGAAAAAAATGGTTCGATCTGTGACCAAAAAAAAAAAAAAAAAACATTATGACATTGCTAACATATATACTCATGTTTTTATTAGAGTAGAAAATGTATTTACCATGGTGGCTCAGTGGTTAGCACTGTCGCCTCACAGCAAGAAGGTTGCTGGTTCGAATCCTAGCTCAGCCAGATGGCATTTCTGTGTGAAGTTGCATGTTCTCCTCTTGTTCGCATGGGTTTCCTCTGGGTGCTCTGGTTTCCCCCACAGTCCAAAGACATGCACTATAGATAAATTGAATAAACTAAACTGTCTGTAGAATGAGTGTGGCCCCATTTACACTAGAGCGTTTTAGTTTTAAAACGGCGTTTTAGATCAAAAACGATCTGCGTCCACACTAGCGTTTCACCTAGCGTCTCTGAACATATCTCCGTCCACACTACACCACCACAAACGTATATCACGAGACCATTCGTGCACTCTGGGCATGTGCGTTCTAGTATAAACAGAAAGCATGCGTCTCACTCGGCATTTGGTTATTGTTAGTCAACAAATACCGGTTGTACATTAAATGCGATGGCAAAGAAAGGAAGAGAGGTATTTTTGTGGACAGACGTTGAGGTCGAGTTGTTACTAAACGTAACAAATGAATAACTGCACAATGGCGTTAAACAGACAATAGTGCAAACAACGATCCCATTTCTGTGCCCTTGTTGTGGTTTACAGTACTGTCTTCCGGTAGCGTTAAAGCCATGTGTTATAGTCATGTGATAGGGACTTGACGAATAAGGGAAAGATACGCAATTACACAAAAGCCCCAATCAGGTAGCGAATCTCAGCAGTCCCGCCTCCGTTTTCAGATGTCTCCGTTTTTCCTCATCCACACTGAAACAGAGCAGCAGCGTTTTAGAATGAAAACAGCCTTTCCAGCGTTTTCAAAACGCTCCGTTTTCGACGCTCGAGAACTCCGGCGTATTGTGTAAACGGGGCCTGTGTGTGTGTGTGTGTGTGTGTGTGTGTGCATGAGTGTATGGGTGTTTCCCAATACTGTGTTGCGGCTGGAAGGGCATCTGCAGTGTAAAATATGTGCTGGAATAGTTGGCAGTTCTTTCCAGTGGGTGACTTCTGAAATAGATACTAAGCCAAAGGAAAATTAATAAATCTGCCATTTTTAATGTATGGATGTAGTATTTATGTAAACTGATAAACATAAGTAAAAAAAAAAAAAAATTAGAAAGATATTCTTACATACATCTGAGTGAAATGGATTATTGAAATAGAGAAAAATGAGGCTGGACTTTGTTCTATTTATCGTTGGCTGATTTGATGCAAGATCTGAATGCAAGCTACTTTTTGATCTGCTTGTTAAGTCGGATGTCATGCTTCATAATTTATGAGTCCAAACTCTTTGTGAGATGCAAAAACAAACAACAAGCTTTAATGACATGAAAAAAGCATGATGGTAAACTTTATCTTCATTAAACATCTCAAATGACCAGACTTTGACTAAATATTGTAAGGATCGTTGAAATATACGTGCCATAAAAATGAGATATTGGAGACTGTAGTGTACACCATATGATTTGAAAAGCTTAGCTTATTAAAATCTTATAAAAATTCTTATCGATGTCTGTTAAAATAAACAAGTAGAGGCTTGAACCCTGAAACAATATTACATAGTCACAGCTCAACAAGGGTTTTGGGGATTAAGTTGATCAAACTGATTGTAAAAGTATGGCGTGTGTCACCAGTGTATTTTAGTAAATGAAGATGGCATTTATTATCAATTTATCCATTTACATTTATTATAAAATAATTTAGAGCTTTAATCCCCACATAGAAAAGCACTATACATTTATTGTTAAAACTATAGTGCTAAAGTAAACTGACATATTGTAGTGTACAGTACTACAGTATTTATTGCTGTTTATTAGTTTGCAATAGTTAATACAACAGTATGCTGTAGCATTCAAAAATCAAATAACAGATACTATGTATTACAGCATTGCTATTGCATTTGAGCTCGCTCATCATTCCCTACAGACCCTGATATAACAAACTGGCCAACAGATGACTCCACAGCTACAATGGTCCACCCCTCTCCCAAAATAAGGACCTCCAGGACCAACCTTTTTTTTTTTGGAGACTGCAACAGTGTCATCAGAACAATCTCCCCTATATGGTGTATGCCCAGAGTCTTCATGTGGCAAACAAGGGTCTTGGCTTTGGGCAGAGTACTCTTTTTCTAGAAGGCCTGGATGAACGATTGGGAGAGGCTGGGTGAAATACATGCATGGAAATATTGAGAGGTGGCATAATATGTCTGGGGGAAAATCAGGGGAAATTAGGGCAAGTGCCATTTTTTACACCACTTGAGTCACTGTTGGTTGCTGCTTTTACGCCTCGCTGCACTGTATCTTAATGGTTCAGAGTGTGAACATGTGCCATTTTGAATCGAGATCTTGCAGTGGGAATGGACCCCTCTCACAGCCAGCACCACCTCCTAGTACATGCCCAAACCTTCAAGAGCTGACTTCAAGAGCGTCCACCAGTGTCAGCTCCAGATTGCCCCCTAGTGTCGGCTCCAGCTCCAGAGCATGGCCCAATACCTGCACTGCCCAGGCCCCAGCCTGGCTCCTTGCCCTGTTTGTAATGCTCAGACTCCTAGTTCTGCCGGCTCAAGCCCAGCTATTTGCCCTGCCGCCACTCCACAAGCCTCCAGCCCTGCTGTTTCTCCATGGGCCTTAAGCGTTGACTGCCCCTGTCAAGCTCCCCACCTTGTCTGTCCTGTCCGATCCTCCTCAAATCACCCCTTCCGGTTCCTCCCTAGTGTGTCCCTGTTCTTCCTTGGACTGTCTTCACCTTGGCCCTGGGGTCTCTGACATACCCTGGTCTGTCCCTCCAGTCCCTCCCCGATCTGTTTCACTTGTTGATCACTGGTCTCTCGCTCCTTCCTAGCCCTCTGTCTGGGTTCCTGAACCATTGGTGCCACACTATACTGTCTCTCAAGACCCTCCCTGGTTCCCCACCCTGATTCATATTCCTGAAGCTCTGCCCTTTCTGTTAGACAGAGTCCCTGAACCTCCTAACCCTCCCTGGCTTTGCTCTTTCTTCCCTCCCATATTAATTTTTCTGGTCTGGCCTGGCTCCACTCTCTGCCACTTCAGTCATGTTTATTCTTGTTTTGGTGGCAGAGTTTTCTCTTATCTTTGTCTTGTCTGTTGTATTTGTAGTGAGTGTGCAGTTATGACCAGTCTTGGTTCGCGCTCGCTCCGTCATCTTGGTGTTCATGTTTACATGCAGCCATGTGCTTTAGCCTTCTGATTCACGTGAACATGCATTAATGAGTATTCTCACTTGCTTAGTATTCTAGTCCTGTTTGATAGGAGCACATGGCTCATGTGTTTGTCTCTTTGTGCCACGTGCTCACCTGTCTATTGTCTAGTCCCACCCATCTTGTCATCCCATTATTAATTTATTCCGTTCATCTGTTTATTTCTTGATGTGTTCTCTTTATAGCTCCCGCATGCTTGCTGTAGTTTACCAGTTTGTTTTCATCATTCTTTTCTGATGATCCCATCTTATCCTGTCCTGCTCTTCCCTGCCAGTGCAGCCCAGTTAAGTTTGTTTAGTCAATGTTTTCCTCCTTTGGGTAGTTTTTGTTCGGTTTTTGTGTTATTTTTAAGATTAATAAAATTATTTTGGAGTCCTTGCTCCTTTCCCTCACCAACCCTGACAGCTACATCATCCTGTAGTATTAACTTTTGTGAACTTGTAGTATTCCTAAATTTTTTTCCCCAGTAAACTGTGGTGTTTTGTAGTATAATATATACCGAAAACTTGGTAATTTTCTTGGTATTTTGGTTAATTTGTTTTTATTAGTTTGTAGTACCACAGATTAGAGTTAGAATAGTTTTTAAGACAGGAAGTTTTAAAAATTATCTTCATATTGAGATTTCATTATACCAATTTATTATACCACTTTGCTTCTCTAGATATTGAAGACCAGATCTGTGAAAGTGAATGAAGACATCGGATGCAATATGGCAGAAAGGTAAAGCAAAGCGACTGCATGACTATTAAATTCATCATCATCGCTTTACCCTCTTAATCTCACAATATGAGACGGTGAGCGGGGAAATGTCTCATCAATTACTTTGACGGACAACAGAGAAGGAAATGTCAAACTAATGAACCTTGCCATCAAAGTGTAATCTCCACCGAAATTGATTAATTTAGTCTTTGTGGAGTAACCCTGCTCGCCTCGAGCCCAGATAATCGCCCTGCCCCATCCCAAGGCTGCGGGTAATAACGCAGACAGATGGATATCATGTGGGACACACCAGCAGGTATTCATCTCACCGTGAAACGCAGAAGAGAAAGACAGTGAGCCACTGGCTGTATTGATGCTGACATCACCTCACCACCTCAAATCATTCTCCAGTCTTCCTCTCCGGATCTCGGATCCCCCCCGCCCCTGCACCCTGGTTCCTGGCCATTAATAAATCCGTCCGTCTCCCTGTCCCTGCTATTTGAAGCCGGAGTGCCTCGCACTTTCACATACACAGACCGCTCGCAGCGTTGCATCTGTCTGCCGCGGCGTGTGTGCCTGCATTAACGCGCGTGTGCACCACAGACAGAGAGAGCGAGAGAGAGAGAGAGAGAGAGAGAGAGAGAGAGAGTGGCGAGCCAACCAGGAGCTAAAGGGAGAAGGGAAAAGCGAGCGATCGAGAGAAAAAGGGGGAAAGAGAAACGCCGAGTGCATGAGAGCAAGACAAAGCAATGAAATTCATCGGAGCCGTTTACCTCCTGTTCCTCCTCCCTGCTTTAAGCTTCAACAGCAGGTAAGAGCAGATTTACAGCTCTGGCTTTATCTGTCAACACGATCGGTCTGTCTGCCGCGGACACAATAGCTGATTATATTCATCTGTGACAGCCACACTGTTAAAGCCTCTGTCTGTGCTTGAACAAAAATCTCAGCAGAGTGATTGAGACGCCACTGAGAGGGAGGTGAAAGATGCTTAACAGCTCAACTTTTTCCAGCTTCTGTTCTGGGCTTGGCTTGCGCTGCAGACAAAACCGAGACGTTTGCGTTCTGGCTCACGGTGTGAGTGAAATGTGGATTGTGGCGAAGAAGGTGCAAGTTTTTGGGATGCCCGTGCGATTGCAGAGATCATTGTGTGTGTATACGTGTGTGAGTGTGTGTATGTGTGTGTGTTATAGAGCGAGGGGAAGAATTTGAGATGAGGAATAAAGAGAGAAGAAAGGCTAAGCCAGGAGGAGTCTTGCAGAGTCAGGGAGTTTTCAAGGATTGATCATTAATTTAACTACTGATAAAGCCGTGCTTCTTCTTTTCTGAACCCAGAGCACGGGAAAGGTCAGTGAGCTCTCAGCCAAGATTTTAGCATTGACTTTATCATCTTTGGGACATTTTTATGCTCTTTTTGGGTAAATTAAACAACATATTTGTTCTGCAAATACTTCTGCCCTTTAGACTTGTCCAGGGAGTGGCCCTCGAGTACACATGTATGCTTGTGATACAAAAATTGATACAGATATTAATAACGCACATGCTTTGCCTACTTGACTTTATGAGTCTAAACAATTAGAGTTTTTAAGAAAAAAAAATTATATGCCCTTTTGGTGCCTGTATATTGTGTGGTTTACAACTGATAAAGTGTTAAAATATTTTAATCTCCTTTGTACTGAAAATAGACCCTGGACCACAAAACCAATATCAAATTAAACAGGTAGCATTTGTTTGTGGGAAAACCCAACAATACATTGATGAGTCAAAATTATTGATTTTTATTTCATGCCAAAATGATTAAAATTGTATGTAAAGATCATCTTCCAGAATACATTTCAGTAAATTTCTTAAATATATCAAATCCTATTTTTAAAAAATAATATTCTTTGCCAAAAACTCATTATTTTATCATTTTTTTTAAACTCTCACATTCAAAAAGTTCTATTCAATTATTCAAAATATTGTCTAATTCTAAAAATAATCATACATCAATGGAATTCAGCTTTCAGTTTCAGCTTTCAGTTTCAGCTTTCGATTCAGCTTTCATTTGATGAATAAATGTCAAAACTGAGCAATACTATTTGTTTTGTGGTCATGGGTGCTCATTTAAAAAAATACAATACATTAAACATATTTTTCTTTATTAAGTAACAATGCATTATACATATATTTTTTAAATATTCAAATTTTTTATAACATTATTATTGTTGTTAATATTAATCATCATTAATAAGACATTTTTTTGTAAACAGTCATTATAGCTCCCATTATACCTTACAATAAGGTCACATTCAAATAACTAATATAATAACTAATATTAATCAATTAAAGTTAGTTAATATCAATTTCTACATTTTTAAATACATTAATGAAAAAAAAATATATATATATATATATGTGTGTGTGTGTGTGTGTGTGTGTGTGTGTGTGTGTGTGTTATCTGAGCATGAACAATAAGGAGAACTTTAAAGATTAATAAATATTGTAATGACAGTAATGCCTTTAGTAAGTTATTCTTGTTACAAACTGTTAGTTTATTGTAAAGTGGTACCATAATTGCTTACCATATATTTTACTTTTATTTGTTACAACTAGTAATATTATTTAAATTAGATCCATGTACTCCTCTGATCACAGTCCAAACGTTATACAATCAAATCAAAGGTTCTTGAATAAAGTATGCTAATGGGGTTATCTTTTAACTTGACAAGAAATTAATCTCACTTGCTTTTACTTAATGTAAGGCATTTATCAAGACCAGTCTCTGAGTCACATCTTTAGATTCTCATTAGGCCAGTGTCAAACATGCATTTGAACTTTCTTTTCAAATTCTCAGATGAATTTTTCCACAAAAGCCAAGATGTGACTGCTCTGAGCATTCTCCTGGTGATGACACCTGTGATGTTTTACTGTGCAAATAAATCTTTCTGTATCAGAACACAATTTATGTATACACGGTATAGTAATTGTACATATCCCGACAACTTTTATGCACATGGTAGGAACAACTTAAATATTATTCAAGGGACCTGTTTTATTATGATTTATCTTGGGAATCAAACCCATGACAGTCTCTTTCTCTTTGATTCTTTGAGCTCATATTGAAGTGAAAATATAAATTTGTCTTTACAATGTTAGCTTATAGCGATTAAGATATTATTCTATTCATTTGGTATTACTGAAGCACCGAAGACGATTCAAAATGGCACATGTTCACACTCTGAACCATTAAGATACAGTGCAGCGAGGCGTAAAAGCAGCAACCAACAGTGACTCAAGTGGTGTAAAAAATGGCACTTGCCCTAATTTCCCCTGATTTCCCCCAGACTGAGCATTATTATTTCACAGCAGTCTACTTTATTTTTGTCTGTTGTGATACTATTTATTTTTGTGGTTTTATTTTTTTAACATCATATTAAAGGTGTTGTGTGTAAGTTTTAGCCTTTTCTAAAAAAACCATAATATGTTTGCAGATCTTTAAGAAACTGCTAAGTGAACATGTTTATCTGAAAAACAATGTAAAAATTATAAGTCTCCTTCGAAATGTTCATTCTGTGTCAGAATGTCTGTCTTTGCTTTATTCTGTGTAACTCCACCCATTACCGCTTTACCCAATTATATTTCGCCGTCCTAGATTATCTTAAAACAGCATATTTAATTTCAGTCATAAATGCTGTTTCAGTATATTGAAACACGGCTGAAAATGTGACCTCTGGAGGACAGCAGCAGCCTCTGGAATGAGATGCGGATTCAGACTTATAAAAATCCACATGCGGTGGTTTTTGATTAGCAAATATTATAAATATTACAAATATATACATTAGCTGAGCAGCTTACATTGTAAAGCTCGATCGTCAGGCAAGCTTGCTCTAATCTGGCAACCTGCAATTACGTGGAGTCTTCAGGGGAGGAGCTGAGGGAAAAAACCCTCTCAAATGTTTTGAATTTGGACTGCAGTACCTAGTTCAACCACCAGTCAAGCCTACACTGTAAAAAATCCTGTTTGCCTTACATTTTTAAGCTGAATTAATTAACCTTATGAGTCCATTGAACTTATATTATGTTTAACTGACTTAAAACAGCTTGCGTAACTTATATAATTAAGTTATAACATGATTAACTTAAGTTAATAAGTTACAATGAACTAAAAGCATTCTGACATGACTGATTGATCATATTATTCTTTACAGTGTACATACTGCATATTTAATTTAATTGCTGGTTATAATCTTGCACAATATGTGTAATGTAAGCATATTAAATAATTTGCAAACAATTGGCAGCAGTTTGATAAATTTTGTGACGTGTGTTTTCTCTAAATTTATGTTTTCACATTGCATTAATTAACCTACATTTAAAATAGAAAAGTTTAATAATTTTAAAGAAAAGTTTAAAGTTTAAAGACTTTTAAATATTTTTTTGAAGGTTGACAAAATATATGTTTTTTTTTTCACAAAAACTACTGTACAAAAACAAGTAATGAGCTGAAAGTACATCTTTTACTATTTATTCTTTAAAAAAGTCCCACAATGCAGATCAAAAACTGAAAACACCAGTGAAGTTACAAACCCACAGTATATATTTAAACAAATCTAAATTTCCAATTATTAATAAGTGTAGATTTTTCATTTTTAAATGTTAAAAGCATAGCACTACACTTTCGTTGTTTGCTTCCATTTTTAAACAACTTCCTTCAGATACTCTCTTTAAAAAGGCGGTCATAAAATATGTGTGCGTGGCTCTCATTTAGATACCCAGAATCCCAGCTCAGCAGTAAACCACTTTCTCACAATCTACACCAACATTTCATCAATTCTGCTTACTGGTCTGCAAAGCTCAACAGACAAGTGTATTGAACTACACATGTATAAATCAGCAAGCCGTACTATTCAGCATTTTAGACTGTACAGAGAGATGATTACATTATGCTGCATAAGCATTTGATGTTTAGGGAAACCTACTCCAAAAAGAACTGTACTGAACAATTTCATCAGAGCTTCATAAGTAGCGCAGAAATGGCTAGATGAGGTAAGACGCTGCCTATTTGAAGTAATTGAATTCTTCCACAGCCACATGTGCATGACATGCCTGGGTGTGGGTGATGAATAGGTCACGCTATGGCTGATGAATGAATTGGGAACTTCATTTGAAAGGGCAAGCGTGACCTTGCCGCACACCCATAAAACACAGTGAATCCTGGACAGTGAAAGAAAATTACCATTAATGCATGTATACATTTTCAACACCCTGGGTTTACATAAGCATTGGGGTTTGTACGTGTTACGCTCTATACATCATTGCTTTGGTCATTCATCACTGTATGTGCCAGAACTTTTCATGCATTCATACAAGGCCATACATTTCTCATGGAATCATGTAGATGTGTAAATATTTTCAGTCAGGTATAAATAATAAATGTTCATGGTAATGAAGTTTTCTAAGTCTAAGTCTAAGTTTAAAATAAATTATTAAAAATTGGAATTTTTGTATATTTATATAAATTGTATCCGCTAGTGCTATATAACGGACAAAAGCAGATGTATTTTCCTTTTCTATTGTTTGCTTAAAAATAAATAAAAGGAATTATAAATCATATTTACCCACTACAGAGGCATCCATCAGACTCCAACATAAGTGTCCATTAGAAAAGTAGTCTTGGTGGAGATGAAATAACATGAACATGATGCTGTATTGGATTGAGTTCTGGGGACTGTGGAGGCCATTTGGGTACAGTGAACTCATTGTCATGTTCAAGAAACCATTCTGAGATGATTTGCATTTTATGACATGCTGGATTATCACTGCATTATCCTG